TTCAAAATTTATAAGTATCATATTTCATGAAGTTTTCTTATAGTAAATGTCAAATTGTGTATATAGTTTTGATTTAGTTAGGATGAGTTTACTTTATGGACAAATCAATTTTTAAAAAGGCAAAGTTGGAATTGAGGCGTTTTGCCTTAGTGAGGTGGGGTGTAAGCCTCAAAACATGAAGATAAAAGACATTAAATTAGAAATAATTTATAAAAATGACAAAAATGAAATAAATTATCAACATAGTTACTTGATTTATCATCATAAAGATATAGATATACATCTCAATATTAAATGTCATAATAACACAAGTTTTAAATGAGATTCAAAGTAAACGGTCATTTCGAACTTCAGTATGCCATGAGGATCAAGATCCTCAACGACATCATCTGCACTTTCATATTTTTCAGAAGAGTTTTCATATTTAATATTTTTATCATCTTTAAAATCTTCTTCAATTATAATATTTTTTTCTTGTCATTTATATCAGTTAATATTGCATTAAATATAATCAAAAGAAAAACAACAAATTAATAACCCAACTAGGTTATTGATTATACTTAAATTACCTTTTGATTTTTTAAAACTCCAACCTCACTTTGTTTCTTTTCTTTAATGATTGTAAAGTAGAAATTGCTCCTAATTCACTAGAGTATTTATGGAATAGAGTATATATTAATAATAATAATAAACTAAAATTTAATCTAAATGAGCCGCCGCCTCAAAACGCATGATTTAAAGGTTAAATATGCTAACATATGTATTTTTGTATTTAATTAGATAGATGGAGTTTTACCTTTTTAAACTTTAAAAATTCCTTGGAAACAATTGTTATTGGCAAATCTAGGATTATATTGATGTAATTTAACTTCCACAATAAAATTGATATCAATTTGATTTTTTTTTCATAGAGATAGTATTAGAAGGTAAATCTTACTAATAATAGTATTATTAGATTGCTCAATTGATTTAGCAAATTAAGTTGACGTGATTATTTCAGTTTCATAGCCACATTTATTTTGATTCTAATTGATGTTTTTGTTGAAGTATGATTTCAAGTTCAAGTTCTTATTCCGGTTTTAACTCATGCTCAACATTAGATTCAAATTTATGAACATGTTCTTGTGTAGACTCTATTGCATATTTTAGTACGAGTTTTGGTGCAAAATTAGATTTAGGATTATTCTAAAATATATAATTATAACTATAACTATAACTATATATAAGTCATCATTTAAAGATTATTAGTGAATTACATTTTCTTCAATTATTACAAGCTTAGCCATACATGGTATTGGTGTTAGTTTATGTTTTAGAGGCTTTGGGTTAGATGCATATTTTTTCCTAAAAAAACTATGTTGATGTGCAATAGGCTTAATAGGTGGATATTTATAATATTTTTTCAAACGGTAAAGCTTTAAAATACATCTTATCTATTATTCATCGAGAATTGTACCTCAATTCATTCTTAATTTCTTTATTGTAACTTTCATGAAATAGATATTGATATTATAATAATTTCTAGGCAATTAATATTTGGTTAACAAAATTTTAAAATCTAAGAAAATATTCAAATATATTATAATAACCTTGTTTAAAGTTTTTAAATTCATCGCATAATTGATCTGTATTTAGGGAGTGTTAAAGATAGTTCTTTAACTTTGTGTTCATATAAGCTCAAGCAGGTTTACTTTCAAATTTTCATCAAAATATTTGAGTAGATTCTATGAATTTCATTTTAGTAAATTATATGGTTTAAAAAATTGTTCGAGCTGTGCCTCAAATTGAGGCACACAATGAGCGCCTCGAGGCTTATGCCTCACAAGGCTCAAGGTGTTTTGAGGCTGCACCTCATTCTGGCTAAGTTATATATATATATATATATATATATAAAGATGGAACCAATTAGCTTCAAGACGAATGAATAAGGTTGAATGGATGTGTTATATTAATAAAAATTTGAAAGATAAACACTTCAAATTATAGAGGTGAGTAATTGGTGATGTTTAAAGAAATCCTTTGGTGGTTAGTGACATATTATCTAACGATGAATGTATAATAGCATAAATAGTGAAATATTTAAAATTAAAAATGGGAAGAATGCATTTGTTGATGAGGAGAATGAAGATATTAATGCTAATATCAAAATGACTACTGGATTGATAATAAATTCAACTTCACAATCAATTTAAAGAAAATAGCAAAGTGGAGTTCGAGTTTTTAAAAAATATCAAATGATGATTTAAATATAATTGATTATTTTATTGTATTGTTGATAGGAAATACTTGTAAAAATAGAAGGAAACCTTGGCTGAAATTTAATTTTAGGAAAATCCAAATAGTAATTGAGAAGAAAAATGTGGAAAACTAGAAGATAAGCTTTTTAATTGATGATATATGATAGAAAACCAAAAAGATGCAATGAATCTTCAATTAGAGAGGAAGATCCGTCTCTCCCAAATCCCTAGCTGCTGGCTAGAGCCCGAATCTCCTATGAAATTCTAATTTCAGCAAACACATACATAACCCCAATCCTAGGGAAAACACAATACTTAAAGCATACAAAAATATTTCAAATTCCTAAACAGCCCCTAACAAATCCTTCTTTCCTCCTAACTGCCCCTCCTCTTTCGCCTGCTGTACATGAGTATTGTGCAGGACTTCTTCTGCCAACTATAGATGAGGCCCGATCCAGGAGGAATCGACCCAATGACCGGTCCAGGAGGGACTGGTCTAACAATGCTCCCTTTCTAAAGACACACTTGTCCGCAAGGTGGAAAGACGACTCCATCCTCAATTTCCTCGTCATCACAATTGGTGAGAACCTAAAGGGTTCGACCCTTACATCTATGCCCAGATGCATACCTCTCATCACATTGGAAATGCAGCCCCTTTGCCCTCTTCTTTTGTAACTCTGTCTGTGTGAGCTTCTTGAAGTTTTCCTCGTGTCTCCCTCATGCAGTCTTCTCCTTCGGGGTATCCCTAAGAATACCTGGTGTCAGCTCCTTTGATGCAGAAAAGGCGGTGAACCTCCTGAATAGCAGCTGCCTTCATCCCCTCTGTCCAGGTGCCTCTAATCCTCCACTAATTGGGCTAGCTCCATAGCCTCTCCCACGAGCCCTCATCACTCTAATTTGTGTCCGAATATCTAGTTTGAGCCCTTTTGTAAAGTTCCCCTCCAATATAGGCTCCGGAAGCTGGTCTAATTGTTTAGCCAGGTGCTCAAATTGCTCATGATACTCCACCACTAATCCCTCCCGTGTCAGAGTGAAGAGTTGCTCATAGAAGTCCTCTCCCTTGCTGGTTCGGAAAATGTTCTAACAAGCAATCCTTAAATTCCCTCCAGGTCCATGTGGGCCACCTTGTATCTCTTCACTGGTACCATGTCAACATTTTTCCCTCCAAGCACATCTTGGCTGTCTTTAGTTTCTCATCTTCCATCAACCTATTGACGATAAAGTACCTTTACACCCTGTAAATCCAACCATTTGCATCATCTCTCTCAAAATAGGCATCTTCAACTTCCTCACCCTTGGATCTCCTCCATTCCCCCTATTTCATTTATAATTTCCTATTCCCCAAGGGGGTGGTTTCCCCCAGTGTCCCAATCATCCCTTCTACGCACGTACCCAAAACTTTTATCAAAATCCAACATTCTCCTTTCAAATTCAACACCCCTCCGGTCATAATTAGCAACTCTCCTCTCAAATTTAGCACTTCTTTGTTCATGCCTGACCCCATCACGCCTCTCCCCATTTCCTCTACCAGACTCCTCCCTCGGGAGGCATTATCTCTTCTCTCTCCAAAATCTCCACCTCATGATCTTTCCCTTTCTTTATCAGATTAGGGTTTTCCCCACATCTTTGGCCGATGGTGGCTTTCCTCGCCTTCGACAACGTCGTTTTGGTTTGTTCTTCAAGCAACGCCAACATCTCCTCCGGGATGAAAAGTTTCCCATCGATCTTCTCATGGATGACTGAAAACTTTTTTTTGAAATCAGAAATCTTTTCTGCAAAATCAGATTTCAATATGTTCATTCTCCCCTTCCAACATTGCTACCTTTTTTCTCCCCATAGATACCTGGATCAAGACTCCAAACTGCAAAATGGGGAAAAAAAAAACAGCGAATCGGCCCTTCAAACTGCAAAAATCAGCAAGATTTGAGAGAAAAACACAGTAGAAATCAGCGAGGAAGATTTATATTTCAGCCTAAGACATCGCTTTAATGTCAATTTAATAGGAAATGCTTGTAGAAATATAAGAAAAACCTTGGTTGCAATTTAATTTCAGCAAATTCTAAACAGTAATTGAGAAGAATAATATGGAAAACTAGAAGAAAATCTTTTTAGTTGATGATATATGAAAGAAAACGAACAAGATATAATTGATCTTCAATTGGAGAGGAAGATCCGTCTCTCCGAAATCCCTAGCCGCTGGTTAGAGCCCAAACCTCTTAGGAAATTCTAATTTCAGGAAACACATACATAAACCTAACCCTAGGAAAAACACTATGCTTAAAGCATACAAAAATATCTCAAATTCTCAAACTGCCCCTTCCATATATAATTAAGTGTGTTCTCTATTCTATTTGATGTGTGTGTGAGTTTACCTTAATTGGCCCAAATGTCCCTCAAACCACCCCCACACCCACCACACACACACACAACTTTATCCCAAAGAGGCAAATTTTTCTGTCCACTTGTGTCTGACGTGCTAAGCAGTCAATAATTTTCAGCAATAGTTGGCCCTTGCTAAGTTGCTTTTGAAGTGGAAGGGCTGCATTGACAAATTGAAGTGTTCTAAGATATAGCATTAGGTGAAAAATTTAACATGGAAATAGAGAAAAAACTTTGTGAGTGCTTTGTGCTGATTTTAGTTATGACTGGGTTGCATCACAGCTATGTTATAGGTAAAAATAAGTTGAGCACTCTGAATGAAGCTATAACTTAATAATGCTATTTAGCTTTCTGAGATTCTAATATCCTGATAATCTTTTGCAGGCAGCCCTAAGCATGAACTGCATACCAGTCCGGGGAATTCCTTGGCAGATAGGAGTAAAGTATCTGATGACAGGGCCAGGACGTATCATGGAAAGGAACCAGAGAGGGATCCTGGTCATAGTCGTTCTAGCAGAGGGAGTGATTCTTACAGATATTCTGATAGGCAGGCTCATCGAAGTTCTCGTGACTACCAGCACAGTGATGATGGTGGATACCACAGACATGCTGATGATGAAGACAGAGCTTCTGCTCGGTATTCTAAGTATGGCAGAAGTGGTCGTCCTGATTGTGCAAATCATAATGACAGTTCTGAGAGGCCTAAAGAAACTAATCGAAATACGGATAGAAATGTGGAAAGATACCACTCTAAAGATAAATATGATAATGCTGTACATAGAAGTAGAGGCAAGGATAGAGAAGTGAATGATCCTGATGATAAGTATAATGAGAAAGGATCTTCCAGAGCTGCCTCTGGGAGCAGGCAAATGACTTCAAGAAGAGATAACAAAAGGGTTGATGAGCCTGAACGACTTAGAGAAAGGGATGATAGAGATGACAGAAGAATTCGCCACCGTAGTCCAAGTGATTACAGAAAAGAATATGCATCCACTCCTGAAGACACTAGAGGACATGCCAAGGATTCCTTTGTAGGAAGGGAAAGTGTCAGCTATCGAGTGAAAGAAAGTCAGCGAAAGGAAATTGATGAGCAGGATTCTCAGGTACAGAAAAGGCGATACAATAATAAGGATTCGAAAAAGTACGAAGATAAATGCTCTCTAGATCCTGATGAAAATAGGAAGAAGGAGAGTGATAGTTTTTCTAGGGAGGAGAGAAGTGATTGTTATGTTGATAAGAACTCCAATGCAACTGAGGATCAAAGTTCTTCATCAAAAAGGTTGAAGTTAGGGCAATCAGATAAGTGTATGTTTGACATCTTGGAGCTCTTTTTTTTGTTGTATTTTATCTCATAAAATTTCATAAACTGTAGTTGCAGTTGACTCTTCTAGTCTTATTTCAGTTCCACTTAGTACGGCTGAAGGAAAACCATCATCAAGTGCAAAGCAAGTTAATGACGCAAATGAGAAATTCACTCTTGGACCATCTGGCTCGGCCAATAATCATGCTGAAGCTGCTCAGGATCTTAATGCCGCCAAAGTTGCTGCTATGAAAGCTGCTGAGTTAGGTGGGCACACTTTTATGAATTCTTTTTAACTTCTTAAATTTTCTCCACAATTTGTTGTGATATTTATGTTCTCTTGTTATCGTTGTGCAAGTCAGAATTTTTTTTTTAGTTATATACTGAAGGTGCTATGTTAATGTTTAGGTTGTCTATGTCCTTTGATGTTGTATTTTCAGCTTTTCGTTGTATAGTTTGTTGGGTGCCACTGGGTTCTAAGTTGTAAATTGACATATTAAGTGCCATTATTGGTTTGAATTTTGCTCATCCCAAACTTGTAACCTATGTAAAAGTTTTTGTCCATTCTGGAATAGTCTCCATTATGGCTGCTAGATAATGCCACCTCTTGATTAAAATAAAGAGAAAAGGTGTGCTTGGATTTTATTAATGCTATATTTATGTAAGTATTAGAAAAGTAGAGGTATTAGATTTGACTTATGTTAAGAAAGGTAGAGGCAGATCTAAAAAGATTTGGTTAGAAAATATTAGAAATGATATTTCTTTATTAGATTTAAACGAAAATTTGACTTTTAATAGGTCACAATGGAGAAAAAAGGATTCATGTAGTCGACCCCACATAGTGGGATAAAGGCTTGTTGTTGTTGTTGTATATTTATATAGACTATATGATCTCTCTCTATTAATTAAGCAGTAAAAAAGAATATGATGAGGAGGTGATTCTGTTGATTCATTTTTACTATTTTTTTATCACGTTTTCTTACATACATAGAGCGTCTGCAGTTTTTTTGGCAATGAAGCTGCAAAGTAGTTTCTGTCTTTAACTGAGTTTATAGGCATTGCTGCCATCTCTTAAAGAACATGCTTGACTCACTTTTATTTTATTTTTCTTACATAGGATTTTTGAGATGAAGATGCTAGCCTCTAAATCTTAGTACCTAATCAACATTGCCTATAAATTAAATTAGTATTATTGAGGTTTTCTGTTTGGAAAATTCAGATTAAATTATTTTAGAAGGATTCAGAACCTTTAAGACTTCAGCTCATACTGAGGACCGAGTTCCATAGGTAAAACATCTCATTTAATCAATTCCAAAATGGACCATGTCAGTCTGAACTATCTTTTGAAGGACGGACTGTGAAGCATGAATAATTCTATTATTCAATACTTTTTTGTTCCGTAATTCTTGATAATCCTAGCGAGTGCATTATATATTAAACTTGTCAAACATTAGTTAAAAAGTTTTATATTTTAGCGGATTCCTCAATTCTAGTTAAAATTTATGACAAATAATATTCGCATGTTCAAAGTCAAATGCTCGATCTTTGCATAATATCTTTTGTTTAGCTTTAGATATTGTAACTACTTATTGTGTCAGATTATATATATAACAACAACAACATCAAACATTTATCCCACTACTTGTGGTTGGCTACATGAATCCATTTTTTTTATTGTATCTTGTTGATGCATCCAAAAAATAGCAAAAAATAAGAAGATGCTAAGGTTGCAAACTCTAGACACTACAAGATTGCCACAAAACAAGACTTCCTTACAATATAGCTTAAACATACACATAACAAACTTACTATTAATAAAGTTTAGAGAAGAAGGATGCAATTGGAAGGGTACTGTGGAGAGAAGAAAGAGATTAGAAACCGAGACGAATTATAAGAAGAGAGGAGGTAGAAGTGGATAGCTCGCAAGCTATTTGAAACCCATATGTTTCATGCTCCAAAAATTCATCTCAAATCTATCTAAAAATAGCATAAAACAACCCTCTCTAAATAGGGAAAAAGAATCCAAATGGCCCCCAAAAGGTGCCGCCCAAGCGTCCAATAGGAATAGCCTGATTTTATGGAAAATATCCAAGAAAAAGGCACGGCCATCCCAGGAACCAAACAACCAGAAAACCAACAACTAATACAGGATCCGAACAACCCAAAAAACCAACAGCCAACCACCAAAAAGGTGCCGCCCTAAGCCTCCAATGGTAACAACCAAAGCATGAAAAATATCCAAGAGAGAGGCACGGCCAGTCAGTCAGAAAATCAGCCAAGCGAAATGGGCCAAGCCCAAAAGTAAAATTTCAGCCCAACAATAAATGCGCATTAAGGGAAAAAATTGAAATTTTTACCTACATCAATTCTTCCTTGGTGGAGAAATCTCATCACCTGATGAGATAGTTTATGGACTTCCAACTTGAGCAATTTGTGCCTTATCTAAATCCTTTTTCAAAGTAGCGCATTTCTTTTCGATCATCTCCTTTTCTCGTTCAAATTCAGATAGGAGATGAAGCTTCTTAGCTTCAAATTTCTCGGTGCTTAAATGCAGTTGTATTTGAATCTTGAGAAGCTCATTTTGTAGAGGATTAGAAAAATATGCTCAAGGTGGAATCCATTTTGTTATTGGAAGCATATCCTCAGGAATCCAAGGCATAGTTAGATGACTTTCTTGATTGCCTTCAACTTGTTGTTTGTTTTGACTTCTCATTTTTTTTAATTAAAAAAAGACGCTCACGATAACTTAGATTCTCTGATATCAAATTGATGCATCTAAAAAATAACAAAAAATAAGAAGATGCTAAGGTTGTAAACTCAAGACACTACAAGATTACCAAAAAAGAAGACTTCCTTATACTATAGCTTAAACACGCACAAAACAAACTTACTATTAATAAAGTTTAGAGAAGAATGATATAATTGGAAGAAATACCATGGAGAGACAAAGATATTAGAATCCGAGTCGAATTATAAGAAAAGAGGAGGTAGAAGAGGATAGCTCGCAAGCTATTCGAAATCCACATGTTTCATGCTCCAAAAATTCATCTCAAATCTATCTAAAAATAGCAACAAACAGCCCCCTATAAATAGGGAAATGGAATCCAAACAACCCCCAAAAGGTGCCGCCCAAGCCTCCAATAGGAACATCCATATTTTATGGGAAATATTCAAGAAAGAGGCACGACCAACCCAGGAACCAAACAACTAGAAAACCAATAGCTAGCATAGGATCCAAATAGCCCAAAAAACAAACAGCCAACCCTCAAAAAGGTGCTGCCCCAAGCCTCTAATAGGAGTAGCCAAAGCATGGAAAATATCCAAGAGAGAGGCATGACCAGTCAGCCAGAAAATCAGCCAAGGGAAAATGGGCCAAGCCCAAAAGTAAAATTTCAGCCCAACAATAAATGCCCATTAAGGGAAAACATTGAAACTTTTGCATACATCGCTTGTTAAGAGTCAAATTCTCATTTAAATCTAATAAAGAAAAATCATTTCTAATATTTTCTAACCAAGTCTTTTTAGGTCTACCTCTACCTTTCTTAACATAGGCCAAATCTATTACATTTATTCTCCTAACAGGATCATCGGAAGGCCGACATTTTACATGACCAAACCATCTAAGGTGACACTCTCTATTCTTATCTGTCACTGTAACTACTCCAACCTTTTTTTCGGACATGCTCATTTTGTATCCTGTCTCTAAGACTAAGTCCATCATCCACCTGAGCATCCTCATCTCAACAACACTTAACTTAATATTATGCTTCTTTTTTAATCGCCAACATTCTATGCCATAAAGCAATTGCAGGTTTCACCACCATCTTATAAAATTTTTCCTTAAGATTGAGTGGTACTTTTTTATCACACAACAAACTCAAAACATTCCTCCACTTTAACCATCCAACTTGAATTCTACTAATAATATCGCAATCTATTTCACCATCACTTTCAACAATAGATCCAAGATATCTAAAATGAGTAGACTTATTAATGACTTGATCGGTTAAAGTCACAAACTCCCCACTAGATCTATTACTATTAGAATTACACTCAATGTATTCAGTTTTAGATCTACTCAAACGAAAACTTTTAGACTCGAAGGTTGACCTCCATAATTCGAGTTTACCTTCAACTCCCTCTTTAGTCTTATCAACATGAAGAATATCATCATCAAAAAGCATACACCAAAGTGCATCCTCTTGTAAATGTCTAGTGAGAACATCCATGGCTAAAGCAAAAAGATAAGGGCTTATGGCTGATTCTTGATGTAATCCAACTGAAATAGGAAAATACTTGGGTCAAACCACCTTGTGTTTGAACACAAGTAACAACTCCTGCATACATATCCCTAATGACTTGAATATAAGCATTATTATCCCCTTTTTTTTCTAGAACTCTCCATAACACTTCTCTTGAAACTTTATCATATGCTTTCTCTAAATCAATAAATATAATATGTACATCCTCTTTAATCTCTCTAAACTTCTCCATCAACTCTCTCAATAAATGAATAGCTTCCATTGTAGATCTACCCGACATGAATCCAAATTGATTTTGAGAAACATTAGTATCACGTCATAACCTATGCTCCATAACTCTCTCCCAAAGTTTTAAATGTTGACACATCAACTTAATTCCTCTATAATTCACACGATCTTGTGCATCACTTTTATTCTTAAAAATAGGAATCAACACACTCATTCTCCACTCTTCCGACATCTTTTTAGTCTTCAAAATAATATTAAAAAGTTTAGTTAGCCAAGAAATTACTTCATCTCTCAAGCATTTTCACACCTTTATTGGAATATCATCAGGTCCATTAGTTTTTCCACACTTCATTTTCTTTAAAGCTTCTCTAACTTCAATTTTATTAAAGCGTCGATAAAAATAAAAAAATATATTTTTATTTAGAGTGCTAGGGTCACTAAAGTTAATCGTATTTTCACAATCTTTATTAAAAAACTTAGCAAAATATCTCATTCACCTTTTTTTGAATATTCTCTTCTAAAAAAGCACTTTTTGATCTTCATCCTTAATGCACTTCACTTGAACTAAATTCTTACTACTCCTATCTCTTTGTTTTCCTAACTTATACATATACATTTCTCCCTCTTTAGTATTTAATCTATTATATAAGTCATTAAAAACTAAAGCCTTTACAACGCAGATTACTTTCTTAGACTCCTTACATGCAACTTTATATCTTTCCTAATTTTCAATGTTTTTATATCTAAACCAATTATTATATTAATTCTTTTTATTTT